GCCAGCGGGAGAGTTGTGAGGTTCGAACTCCAGGAACCTGAGGCTGACAGCTTTGTGGAAGCAGCCACTTAAAGGACTGAGCTAGGGCCAGGCCCCCTACCTTTTTCAAAGTAAGGAAATTCTTTGCTAATTCAGAATAAGAAAATTTCTAAAAGTTGTTATCGAAAAAATAATAAAATTTTGGCAAATAATTTTTGCATCTAAATTGCGGGAATTATATATTTTCCCTTTAACATATAAATGTAGTGAAATATCTTGATTTTTCTAATGTTATCTAAATTGCCACTAGTAAAATAAATTCATTCTGATTGTGACCTAACATTTTCTTTTATATTGCTAGATTCCATTTGCTAATATTTTTTGAAGATATATTTACATATATATTTGTGATCTAATTTTCTTTGCTTATTATGGTCAGTGAAGGAAAAATGTCACTGGAAACTAGGTCAAATCGTATCACTTTTCTAGGTAGCTCACAACCTAATCTACATTGAGCCATGTAAGCAAAACACTATTTGGATGGACATAAGTACACTGAGGGCTCCATTCTTCTGTTGGCTTATCTTTTAATATGTTGCCATTTATCTCTCATAAGTAACAACCCTCTGATTACAGTGATTACTGAAACAATATTCCTAAAGACTTAACTCTTCATGTTAGTTTTTAATCTCCTTTTAAGGAACATCAGGTAGATTTTCTCTCCTAGTTTCTTTTTTTTTTTTCCAAAATTTTATTGAGAAACAAATAGCAATGAGACAGTTTTAAATCAAATAGGTAGGACAGTTTCAATAATTAACACATTGCATACATTGTTTTTTTTGTGTGTTTGTTTGTTTTGTTTTCAGTACCCGGGATTGAACTCAGGCCCTTGTGCTTGCCAGGCAAGCACTTACTCTACTGAGCTATCTCCCTGGGCCCTGCATACATTGTTCCTAGTGATTATTTCCTGTACAAGATGCGGACACGATATCCTATTTACAAACACTATTAGAACAAATCCTTCTATTCATTAAGGGAATGTAACTATATATCTATCCTAACCATTTTGAATACACAGATACAAAATGGACATTCATCTGTATCCCTTTTTTTTTTTAGTTCCGTCATTTGAATATTACTCTCCTAGTTTAATACTGGAATGGTGCTGCTTTTCTCTGAGTTTTCTATTTGCTTTTCACAAGAGTTACAGTAAATTTTATAATTTATCAAATTTTTATTAGGCTGTTTAATTTGGCATTTAAGTATATAATTTATCAAGTTTTTCATGTAAGTTTATTATTATCCTTAGCAAGTGATACATGCAATGTATTTTTAGTCTTCTCAACTAAGAAACAATCCCAAATGTTGAATACTGAAAAATAACTTTGACATAAAGCTATTTGTTATGATACTATAAGTAGTACGTTTAAAAATTTCACAAATATGGTTCAGTCTTTTATGGAACAAAGTAAGATACAATATTATGTATATACTGTTAAAAATATTTTTAAGGAGTTTACAATAACACGAAACACAACTGCTGTTACGGAAAAGAAAAATGTATAAAACTGTGTTACAACCCAAATGCCCATCAACTGAGGAATGGATTAAAAGGATATGGCATTTTTACACAATAGAGTATTATCCAGCTATAGAAAAGATAAATTCTAATTTATCTACATAGGCTCTAGGCTTTTGTAGATAACTGGATGCACCTAGAGACTATATTGGTAAGTGAAATAAATCAGATCCACATGTGCAAACATCGTATTATCTCGCTAGTGTGAGAATATGAAAAAGTAATTAAAATCTAAAAGGTACAACAGATGCTGTGAAAAGGAAAGAAATTGCTCAGTGGGAAGGAAAAACTGGGATGAGGAAAAGGGCAAATGAAAAAGAGGGAAAGATATATTTAGGTATATATGCAAATAGTTTGCATAATTGTATGATCGATTTCTGCTGGTCTCTTGAAAGAAGCAGTTAATGCTTAAATTTTTTTTCTTTTTACTCTGATTTTTTTCTCTTTTTTAAATTTCTTATAACTTATTTGTTCTTTTTCTTTAAACAGATTTTACATGTTTACATCTGGCAATGTGAACAACTAATTTGAAGATAGCAGCGTGTAATACAGCAGCACTGTTAAATTCCTATGACTTTGTTTAGTGAAATCTTGTATGGTTTCTAATGCTGTTTTTTTATCACTATTTTGCATTCTTTAAGAATAAAATGGTGTTACATGTTCAGCATAGTTTCATGTATTTAAAAATACATGTGCAAAAAAAGACAGTAGGGAAATGAATGTAGATATTATTCATACTTGCTAGAGGTAATGGGTTTACATCATTTTTCCATTCTTACAATCAACAGATAAAATTTAACTTAAAATAGAATACAGTCTTGTATTCACAGCATCATTAAGACAGGCACAAAGGAAGAACAATTTGTTCTTCTGGATCAAAGAAAATTGAAGACAGAAGAAGCTCAGTATCAAGGATAGCTTAGCAAGTGCAAATGTTCTGCTCTTGTGGCAGAATGCTTTCTTCCAGGAAGCATGAGGTTTATGTAGCTCTCTATAGCTAATAAAACAACTGTATTACTTGAGTATCCTTGCTTTTTTTGCCCTCATCATTTTCTTTTACAGCTATGCAACCATCTTCCTATGTTCCAGGCTTTCCTTAAAACAAAAAATCAGGTTTTATAGTCTAAAAGTTTAGCATAAGGGAGTTTAAGCTAAAGGAAGATGTTGGAAAGCATCAATCAGAGTCTTAGAGATTACAGTAATTGTTGAAGGATATATTCCATTCTCCTTAGCCAGACCCAGGAATCATTCTTTTATTTAAACCAGGAGCTATTTTGGATGTCATTAGCTAGACAGCTTAATTCCTACAACGTAAATGAGCTTCTTGGAATATCACTCTGTGAATCTAACAACATTGAAAAATGATTATACCCCCTTTCCTTCCTTTCATACTTTCCTCTACCTGAGGTTCTGCAAGAAAAGTCTGATGAAGCTGAAGTATTTATGAATTTCAAATGAAACTACTCTAATGATCATACTAATTAATATTCAATTATACTAAAACAGACCAAAACAAAAGTCAAACTTTACATTAATAGAACTTCGAAAGATTAAAAAATAGTATGAAAACCAGAGGACTATCTGAAGAGTTTCTCCCTTGAAAGTAGGTTGGATGATCATAATGAGAAAGTGGGAAACAGAAAATACTAAAACAGAAATTGAATATTTAATGGCCTACATATACCTCCTCCAAACCCAGTCTTGTCAAAACAAGGACAACAACTTCATGCTGTTTAGTAGGTAAGAAAAACACAAAAGAGCCTGGGTCCTCTGCTTTCTTTTTTCCATAGTGTTACTTCTGGGATTCTCATTTCTGAATTTCCAATTATTCTAGGAAAATAAGCCTAGAATTTTAAGCCAATTTAGAGTGCTTCTTGAACTTGTCACTAAATGTGTTCATAAGAAGTTGGGAATGGTCACTATTACAGAGTATTGCTCCTTTCTAACCCTTCTGAGCTGAGATAATTAAGCAATTCATATTTATTTATTATGTACCTATTCTGTGTGACCTTTCCAGATACAAAAATGATTTTTTGAGCATCCTGAAGTGGCCTTGCCTCACTTCTTAGTTCTAGAGGTTCTGATGGGGAAAGTATTCCAATCTATTAATCAGGCCTTCTAGGTTTAAGAGCAACAACAGAGTACTGCAAGCTTGGGGACAATATTAAAATGTGGGCACTAACTGGGATCACAACAGTATCTGGTCTAATCAAGAGCTGAAAGGGCCAGCCAGATAGTTCAGTGCATTCAAGCACCGGTTCAGGCAGACTCAGGGGCCGGGGGTTCGACCCTGCTCCTGGTGACTGAGACTGGGCATGGTGGCACATGCCTATAATCCCAGCACTTGGGAGGCTGAAAAACGGGAAAGATCACTACAAGTCCAATCTGTGTAGTGAGACACTGTAGACCCTGTACTTTATACATTAAAAAAAAAAATTGATGTAACAGTGATTGCAACTCTGAGTTCAGGTAAAGATCTTCAGATTCTCTCACTAATTATAATACTTCATGTCCATAGCTTGACCTACTAAACCTTAGTTTGCTCACTGTTAAGATGAGAATAGTAATAGTACAATAAGTGCCTGCCTGGCAAGTGCAAGGTACTGAGTTTAATACCCAGTATGGCAAAAAAAGAAAAAAAAGAAAGAAAGAAAAAGAAAAGAAAAGAAAAAGCATTGTAAGCCATCTTCCACTCTACTCACTAAATCAAGTTATTGACTACAGTATGTACGAGCGTAACCCATTTTTTTTACCTTCTCTGAGACCTAGCTTGAGACCTATGAGCTAATGATACTACCCTCTGACACAAACACCAGAGGAATCACAGGGCCTGCTGCCACATGTCTAAATTTTATACTCCCAGAGAGCATCAGTTTGAAATATACATAGCTCGCCACCACTTCCAAGAAGCGTCTCTACCTGAAACTGCCCCATCATTC